AAGATATTTTTGAAGAAAAGGGCATCCTTGAAGGATTGTGATGAAATGATATTTCTTCATTATGGAGTCCAAAAAGGACTAAGAGATGAATATTTGATGATGAATGATTCATTGGAGTCGTGAAATTGTTTGGAAGAAAGATGGTCATTAAAATAAAATTGCAATTTTTCCAAAAAAACTAGCTATGAATAGATCCATTTATTACTCGAGTATGAATCCACAAATATTTTGCATTATCTCATGCAGAGAAAAATTGTTATTGATGAAAATATATAAGAGAAGATACATTCTTCTTTCTATGCCTCGAATATGCTTCAAAAGTAGTAATCTCGAGAAGCTAATTTTAACATGTATACTCAAAGTAAATATATGTTTTCTTGTTGCCAACAAAATTATGAATTGATGAAAAATCATTGATCACAACCATTGGTTTGATTCCATTCCATGAAGAGAATGTGATATCATATTATATGAAGTCATTATTATGACTATGGTTATGAATGAGACTCTATAAACATGAAAAGATTTGCAAAATAAGTTGGCAACGAATTTGAGAATTCTTAGATGTGACATGAATCAATATTGGTCACATATCTTTTGTATATCCAAGCAATTTATGTGTTTATCACATCTCCAAGTATTTGCTTGATTTGTTTCAACTTTATCCAATGAGAAACGAAAAGGTGCAAAAACATATTTTTGTGAAAAATGATATTATGGATATGCACTTATAATATTTGTGATACACAATTTTATATTAAACTTGGATATCTCATATTCAGTTTGAGAATATTGGGGAAATATATCTCAAACATTTGAGAAATTAAATATATATCCCAATGTGGGGATTGTGAATTAAAAGGAGAATTCTTTGAGATCAAGTCTCCTTAATAAGAATTCATTTCCAATAAGAAGATAAGATGCAAGAATGCATTTATGAATGAATATGAATTTTACAATAACATTTCTCATATAGGGAATTTATATCCCAAATTTTGAGATTCATTTCATCTAATATCTTTCAATATGGAGGTTACATATTGTTGGGGTGTGCTAGTGATGTGGGTTGGTGAGTTAGCAGTGGAGATGATGTGGAGGCTGAGTAGGATGCCACCTATGAGTGATGAGGAAAATCCTTTTGGCAGCACCTATTTCACGTGCAAGAGGCTACGTGCCACAAGCTGTCTCATTCTGTCTAGTGATTTTGGTCAGTAGTAAAATCTTTAGCAAAGTTTGAAAGTATAAATTTTCCAGCCATGTTGAGAAAGTTGGGTAGCGATGACAAAGCTTTAAGAACTGAGAATAATTACACAACTACTGTCACGCCCCAGAACCCAAATCCGAGGCGCGACAGATGTCGTGCACTCGTGAGACGGGTCCCACAAGTGCACAAGGCTCGGAACTTATCCAAATCACATCTGACAATCCAAACTCAGATCAGATATTTCAAAATTAATTCCCTATATCCAAACACGACTTAACCTCAAAATCTCTAGATCAAATCTCTTATAAATTAACTATCCACTAAATGAATTTACAATCTCCAATTAAAATCTCGCTTACAAGATCATCATTTATATCTAAAATCCATATTCAATTTACACGATGGCTAGCCTTCTAACTCGTCACTCCCCTCGGTTTCCCCGTCCTC